GGTTAAAGAAGTCAGTTGAAGTTGATGACAATGAGTCTTCAGTGAATCAAAACAAAGAAAAGTCAGGTCAATCAAAACAAAGAAAAGTGGTGAGAAAGTATGATTCCAAGTACTTAGAAATGGGATTTACATGGAATGGAGATGAAGAAGATCCACGAACACGATGTATTATTTGTTGTGATCAACTTGCAAACGAGAGCATGCGCCCAAACAAATTGTGTCGCCATATTGAGACGAAGCATCCCGAGTTGAAAGACAAACCCCTCGAATTTTTTGAAAGGATGCTAAGCAAGTTGAAGACAGGACAGAGCGTTATGCAATGTTACACCAAAGTTAATAAAAAATCTTTGTACATGTCCTACCTGATCAGTTTGAGAATCGGGAAAGCTGGTAAGCCACATACAATTGGAGAGACTTTAGTTCTTCCAGCTATAAAAGATACAGTTAAAGTTTTCTTTGGTGATAAGAGTGAACAAGAAATTGAAACAATTCCTATTTCTAATAACACGGTCACGCGTAGGATCGATGAAATGTCTCGATGGATAGAAAATCAGCTAATTCAAAGAGTTCGTGAAAGTACAATTTTCTCCTTACAACTAGATGAATCTACTGACGTACAAGGTCTGCACCAGCTACTTGTTTTTGTGCGTTATATATTATTTGAGAAGTTGTGCGAAGAAATGGGAAGCAATCATAAATCACTTCTTCTGCACACAGAAGTACGTTGGCTCTCGTGGGGTAAAGTGCTAACAAGACTTACAGAACTCCGCGAAGAAGTTGCTGTATTTCTGGAAGGTAAAAGCGATTTTGCGAGATATTTGCGCAACGAGGAATTTGTTCTGAGGCTCACGTATTTGGCAGATATTTTTTCAAAACTAAATGAACTGAATTTGTCCTTGCAAGGAGCAGAAGGTATCAGTATATTCGCAGTTCATGAGAAAATTTGAGGTTTCATGAAAAAACTTGTTCTATGGAAAAACTGTATTGACAACCGAAATTATGACTGTTTTGAAACATTTCAAACCTTTGTAATGGAGAATGAAGTAAAAGTTGATGACGATATAATCATTGAGATATCTGAACACTTGAATAAGCTGAAAGAGAGTTTTGAGTTTTATTTCCTTGAAGAAATGAAAAATATCCAAGAGAAAAAATGGATTATGAACCCCTTTCGACAAATGCTGAGGAAGAACTTTTTAATTTATCTGAGGATGCTTCGTTAGAAATGAACTTTAACAGCAGAAAACTGATACAGTTCTGGGTGTCTGTTCGAAAACCGTACCCAATCTTTTCCACTGAAGCTTTGAAGGTACTTCTCCCTTTCTCATCTTCATATCATTGTGAAGTTGGATTTTCAGCAATGGTAGGAATTAAAAATAAATTCCGAAATAAACTTCAATTGTCCAATTCCTTACGCCTGAAACTAACCCACATTGATAATGATGTCAATGCCATTCTTGACAGTAACAAGAAACAAGCACACACGCCTCATTATTAATCAATTAGATAGCATTTATAAGTTCTGGAAATGTTATTGAAAATACGTGAGTATTTTTAAATGTAATTGAAATACGTGAATATGAATAAGTAATATTTTTTATATTCTTTCATATGTTTTTGCCCAGTAAATTTGAGTGGGTCGCCATAAGCTGTGGTCATGAATAGTGGGTCGCGATTCTAAAAAGTTTGGGAACCCCTGCACTAGGACATTTAGTTTCTGGAAAATGTCCACTCTTAAGTGTGAACAAAAGAAAACATATAAAGGCACATAAATACAGCTTCCATAAAGGCAATTTATTTACATTAAAGATATTCTACCTTGTTTTTTTGAAATCCAGTTTTTTATGGACTTCATTAAATGTATTTTCTCAGCACTGTTTCTACTCACATTTCACACAAAATAAGAACACACAACTACAAATTCATCTCAGAGTTCAACAAAGAATTTTAGAGTAAGACAAAATGTCCCATTTATATATAGAAACATAAAGCTGTAAATACATAATGGTTACAGAAAGCCATTCTTGCTATACTGTATAATTTCACACATGTACTCCATTAATAAACTTAACAATGGAATATACCCTATACTCAAAACATCTCGCTACCAAATAATTTCTCTAATAAACACAACTGAATTCATAAAATGTTCACATATGCAGATTTGTTCTAGAAGCCAAATTGTAAAGTAAGAAAAAGAGTGGACCATATTCTCTCCACAAATAATTTATATTTAACCAGACCATCATCACACTGGTATTTTACATTATATGGGCATGTAGTGTGTGTATGTGTGTTTATTTATACATACACACACACACACACACACATCGGTTTCCCATACTTTCACCAGAAAAAATTCAAGAAGCATTCCCAAATCTTTAAACAATATTTTCATGAACTTCAAGAATTATTTCTAGCATAATATAATCTATGCAAACTTACTGTGACTTTATAGGCAATTTTTCAAATAGATTTTTCAACTCTGGGCTCTGGGGTTCACGACATTAAGAGATCAGGGGAGATTAAACACCTACCCCCCCCTCATAACCAAGAAGAATGTTTAAAATGCACCTTTCTACACCCACCTTGCATGAATAATGTGTATTAACCTCTGCATGAACACCCACCATCAATAATATAAATGGGTTATATGCATAAGGTTAAGCACTATTTCTTCTACAAAAAAATTTAATATTTCAACAAATGATTTTCTAATCTTCCCCTCCCCTATTTTGAGAGATTTTGGTGACTATCATCAAGTCCTGATTTTAGAGCATGCCCATCAACAGACATTAAATCCAAGAAAGGACAAAAATATACACATTTAACATTGTCAAACTTTTCTTACTAAATTATTTACCAATTATCTCATTGTGTACTTTTTTGTTAATTCGAACACAAGTTACAAGTTGTTTTGCAACAGTGTTCCCATTAAATGAAAAAGTATGAATGATTTGTAAAGCAAACTTGTAACACTTTTTTTTTTGTGATCCATTTATTTGATACAGGACACTAAATTTTTAGATGATCTTTATATTAGGCTATAATTTAAGTTTCTCAAGCAGTCTCCACATGCATAACAATGGAATTGGTTTTAACCTGCCTATAATAATGTCTTGGTCAAGTTACCAAAATATCAGTAGTAAATACAACCGACTCTATAACCAATGATGTCCTCACAATCTAACAATTATAAAAGTAGTTTGGAGACTTAACTTGGTAACACTTCTGTAAAGCTAACAAATCATCAGTCTGGGTGGCAAGTTATGAACATATGAACAAATTTGCCAACACCTAGTTATGGTACAGTCCTCACTGTATGGTGCTTTTTGATTAGATCAGACTGTTCATAGGTTGATGGCATACACTGTGCAATCTGTCAACAGTATATAATGCTGCAACCTAAACTAAACAGTGCCTATTTTCCACAATATTAGGTAAATTTTCTGAACTTTTCATAAAAATTCCCAAAAACTTCTAGACTGGGAAACTGTTAAATAAAATTCCTGAATAATTTCCAATTTCAAGAATGTGAGGAAATCTTGTGTGTTTCTGTACATATGTAGATACAGCTACAGTTAGTAGTTTTTCCTGTTTATTACTAAAACACTCAATAATTAAAACTTGTTATAAGACATTATGCATTGCTAGCTTGTATAAGACATTCACACCCTAACTCAATAGAATTATTTATACATCACCTCACAAAGCTACACATTTAAGTTTTTGTACTACTGCTTATTCTGATTTACACCAACTTTTAAGTGATGTATATGACCATATAACAATCTGTATAAAAATAATATATCCATATACATTTTCTGAATAAAATATATTAATGCTATTGAACATTGTGAATGTATGTTATAAACTAAGAGACTATTCCTCTAGAATCATTATCTGTAGTCGTGAAAAGTTTAATAAAAAGTAAATGGCAAAAAAGCTACATAAAACAACCATACTAAGGCTCATCTTTCATCATTCCTTTGTCAAGTACTAAATATATTCTCTCCAGTAATTTATTCAAACATTCTGCATCTTTAGAATATTTTATTTGTTAACCAACAACAAGAACCTCTGAAAGAAAGAGGATTAAACTCAGTACAAATTTACTATCTTGGACTATGAGCTGAGCATTTAGAGGTATTGCTTTGCTTATCAGAATTTTGCTCATCTCTTGAGAAGCACATAGTACAAAGGAATTATTGACTTCAAACCAACCTGGCTTGAAGGACTTTATTACCACACCATTAAGCTTCTTGGCTCTGCTTCAACAAAACAAACAAAAAACTAAAGTAAGTGAAATATTATAAATAATCCAATATATCCTTCCTGTACCTAAATGTTTATGTATCTAAAGCCAATCTTTTTTTTTCTGTAATGTAAATAAAATCAACTGCAATGAAAATAGTAATGAATTAGCATGACATCACAAGAAAAACAGCAACAACAATATTAGATTAAATTTACCTGTAAATTAATAACAATAACAAATTATTAAATGTACTAGCTTTCTGACTATATAGTTTTGAACAAATTAAACAAATACACAAATGTACCTAAAGTTACTTCAGTTTCTAAAGGCAAATTTTCCAGCTAAATATCTTTCTTGGTGTAGATGAAGTAATAAATTTACCTGCATTTTTAATATATTTCATAACAGGCATTAAAATAAAAACCCAAATATTAGTACCAAACTGAATGCAGTTGTGTTGAAGCAAAAAAAAATATATACACTGCTACAAGTTGAAATTTGAAACATTTACTCAGCGGAATGAGATTCATGCATAAAGGTCACACCTCTATATGTTTTAGTGACTTAAAGTGAAAGATAAACTGCTTCCTATAAACCAGTATAGTAAAACAGGCCAATTAAACTAATCATTCATTGTATTATTAAGTTATTCAAGCTGATGAGGTAAAAGGCATCTACAAATTTACTTTTCTTGCAACATAGTTTAGCTGTACAGAATGTATTGTAATATGATACTAAAAGGTGTCAATTGCATGGTATTGAAATCAGTTGAGCCAGTCATGTACTACAACAAACACGTGGTCAAGTTTTGATGCACAAAAACAAATCTGTTTAAAGAAGTTGTATACATCATTAAAAAACAAACATATATAATTGCACATACTACTCACAGGCTGTTCCACCGGAAAATTTAAAAGTACAGCCCACAAATTATGTTTAAAGAACGTGCATTATTGAATCAACCCAACTACAAAATTTATCATGAACTTTTTTTTTTAACATTTTTATCACCCATTAATGATATTTTTGTATTTAGTCAGAGGTTCAGAGAAGTCAACAATAGCATCACCTACAAATTTATTTTTCAGTTTTCTTAGCAGGGCATTACTGTATGCAAGGTGAAAAAAAAAGAACAGAAACAAAATCTGTGAGAGTTAAACAAAACAAATTAATGTGATGATACTAATAAACTGTATCAACTAGTTTTTAACAAACTAGGTATTTTCTTACATACAAATACCTCAGTGATTTCAGTATCAGAAACAAAAAAGTATCCGATACATAAGAAAAACACTTTAAACATTTTGTTTAATTATATATTATATATATATATATATATCTTTTACATATAAAACAAAAAAAGAGTGCTGTCAACAATAGTAAGGGAAAATTTAGTTATTTTCATTACACGTTAGAATTCAAGACCATGAGAACAAAAAAACGTAAGTGTGATTTGAACCTGTACGGTGCATGACTTTTTGATATGTTATTAAAGATTTTGTTTATGATTCCATAATTTATAATAAATGCTAAGTTGAAGGAAAACAATTCAAAGTGTCTCTGATAAAAACATTATTTTGAATATTACACTCCATACTGCAGCATTCATTATGATTTTAATCTCTTACTGTTGTTTTTTGATTTTTATCAAATAATCATTAGAATACCAAATAGAAATGTATACAAATACAATAAAAATGTAACAAATATTTCAAAACAGAAACAATACTATGTACAATATGAAAATGATTACAACTCTTTTCCTCTGCCTGTTTTTTATTTTTATCAAATAATCATTAGAATACCAAATAGAAATGTATACAAATACAATAAAAATGTAACAAATATTTCAAAACAGAAACAATACTATGTACAATATGAAAATGATTACAACTCTTTTCCTCTGCCTTTTTTTTATTTTTATTTTATGCACAAACTATTTATTGGTGACTAATTTATTGGCTTCCTTCTAAAGCCTGTTCACTGGCTGAGAGTTCAGGATCTTGATCAATATCTACTACTGTCATCACTAAATCACAATTCTCAACTGTACCTTCCTCTGAAGAAGAGACAGCAAGTTTCTTGCTCTGATGAGTTTTTAGATGTTTTGTTAAATGGTCACTTCTCATGAAGCGTTTCAAACACTCAGAACATTGGAACCTTTTTTCTCCTAAAAAGATAATGAATAAATATAAGAATAAAATGGCACAACTGCATAACTATACTATGTATTTATGGGAATTACTCATCCACATTAAAACATTTAGAATTTATAAGCCTCAAATTGTAGTCACTCCTTCAATCTTACAGTAGACTGAGAGATCAATACGTTTCTCTAAAAAACCATCAGAATGGGGAGCAAAAGTACCAACTACAATAGATCAGAGTTATTATTGTTGTGTCAAAGTATCCTTGAGCCATAATATAAAGTAACTTAACAAAATTAAAGTTCATCTTTATACCTTTTGTCTTGAAGACATAAGAGACCACAACAAAAGTAACAACTGTACAAGAAACACCATTTTGATTCACAATACACATATCAACTCAGTTCAAATAAATTGATAGAAACAGAAAGAGCTATGACTGGGTGATTTAAACCTAATATGACCATACTCAAAACTACCACTCACTAGAAACATATTATAGCAGAAAGGTAAAATGTGCTGTAAAAATAAGAGGTGTATGGAATATATGTCAAAAAAATTAGCACATCTATACCACCTTTGAAAATTATATAGTAAAACATACAAAAAATACAATAAATAAAAAACGGTTTTATTGAAAGTCCTAATGCTATCTTTTATTGAAATGACAGTAAAAAAACTTGTAATTAATCAATACTTAATTATTTATTTAGGCACAGGATGTACATGGGAGATCTTAATACTTATAAAACCTAATAATTCACACAAAGAAATTTCCCATTCTTTTGAGAGAACCATTTTATTGCCCATGAATAGATAAAATAACAAAATTTCACCATTTTATGATTACGTTGGAATATCTTTGGTAAGGTATACTTGGGTAATTTTTCTACATTTTTGTGCAGGTATTCTGAAGATGTTGAAAAGTTATAAACAGGTGCTAACTCTTATTTGGGTAAAGGTTATACATGGCAATAATTATGTCACAGAATCTTGTAGAAGTTTGACCCTGTGACTGTGTAAATTTCCTGAGATAAGACAAGCCAATCTCAAAAGGTGATAAAGATACTTGTACAAGTTAGGAGAGTTCTTTCCTTTGAAACATTACTTAGAATAGTCTTTGACATAAGTAATCTATGGATTATAGGATACTGCATTAGGACTTCTTTCTCAAATTTGAAAATGAGGTATAACAGTATTATTTCTATTCTTTTCACATGCATACATGAATTAGTGGTGCTATCTTTGTCCCATGTAGAAGTTTTT